CTTTTGCCACCAGTGGGCACAAGATGGAGTCTTAGAGAGTGCTGAACTGTACAGAGCTGGTTACTGTGCATATCCTCAAATCCCCAAGTCCCCAGATCTTCATTGCAGCCCCCAGACTGTGGAGGTACCCAGTCCCAGCAGGAGCTGCACTGCATCTAGGCATCTCCTGCTTCTGGTGCTGTGATTTAACTTGGCATTCAGAGACAAGAGAATTAGGCTCAGCATTATTTATAATGAATGACTTTGTATTCCCTGAGTCATACCACTTATTCATCCTGTTATTTTTGTTATCCCAAGAACCAGCGTTCTGTAAACTCTGCGGGGATGTTTAGGAAAGGTAGGGCTGTTTGCATTCCTCTCTCTCTCAGCACAAGTCATGATTGCAAAAAAAATCCCAGACAAAACAAAGCCCCAGAACTACACACATCAAATCAAATAAATAAAAACGCAATGGCACTGACTGATCTGAAGAAAAACAATCAACTGTGAGCCAGTTTATTCAATCTGCCTAATGTAAGAAGGTTGCAAACATCCCACTGTTTACTCTAGGACTTTTTTTCCCTTCTGGCAGCAATAGAAACAACTAACGCAGAACCACTCGCTATTCAATTTGAGGGCTGAATACAGCAGAGCTCAACGCCAGCAGCCGAGGGGCGAAAGGCACTTGGCCCAAAGCCTTTTTGCAATGACTCCTGCGAGATTTATTCTTTGCAAGCCATATTTAAGAGGAATTATCCTCACCGTGACACCCCAAGCCATGCACAAGGCTGCTGCCGCTTGATTAACCATTTGAATAATTTCTTTAAACCTGCCAGCCATCAGCTCCTGTCATACCCCTCTCCGCCAGCTTGAGGAATACTTTGTACCTCGTACTTTCTCCCTGTGAACATATTTAAACAGCACCATCAGGTTGCTCTCTAATCTTCCCTTTGATAAGCTAATCAGATTGATCTCCAGAAGCCTGTCACCGCGAGGCACGTTTCTCAAGCCATGGAATACGCCTCACACCTCCTGACAAAGCAAGCTCTGGTCCCTGGGGACGAGGCATCCTCCAAGTTTCAGAGACAGGGTGGAGACCCTCAAGGCACTTCACGAATACATTGGTCTCCTGCCACGGATCAGACTAATGAGTGTCTTGGCCTAATCACCTGAGAGCATCTTGTTTTGAAACTAGACAGATGACACTGAACCTGAGCAGTTGCCCTTAGAAACTGCATCTATGCTTTGAACCAGCACAAAACCATCGGAAAGGCTGCACAAAGCTAAGCCCCCATGCAATTCCCACTTGGGGCTTTCAAAACTGAGTTTGCATAGTGCTAAGAAAAAGAAGGCCTCATGGGCAGAATTGCCCATAGAGGAGTGTTTTGCCCTCCCGGGTAAGCAGGCAATGATGGGGCCAGTGCTACCCCCACAGAGCCAGAGCCAGCACCCGCCCTGCAGAGCAGGCACCAAGGGGGCAGCAGCAAACAGAGCTCTCAGGGGGACCATGTGAAATTTGGGAAAGGATACAGATGCAAAACAACCTGGGAAAGGCGTTGCTATCAAGAGGTAAGGAGTGATGCTTAATACAGGAGTAATTTGATAATATTCTCTTTTAGGGTCTTTCTGTAATGCAACATTTAACAAACAAACTTGGTTCCAATACAAGACTTCTTTCCATATGCATTATTCAGCAGATCTTAGTCTGAAACACACATGAGCTCAGGGCTAACTCTGCACCCCTCAGCTGTCCCAGAGAAATGAATGTTGAGGTACAGAGCTCACTGCTGTGGTGCTGGGCACCAGTGCACTGCAGTCCCCGGCGCTCCTCTGCCACGCTTCACACAATAGGCCAGCACTCCACTTTTCCAGGATGCATTTGTGGTTCTAAACACCCCCCAGCATCATTAAACCACAAATTTGCTCAGAAATCCTTGCACTGTATCCCAGAGGAGACGAAATACAGTCACTTGCAAGCGAGAGAACAACAATAAAAGGAGAATGAATGCTCCCTAAGTGCTTCCTAAACCAAAAATATTTGATATGCAGGCTGTGTACTTCTGCAATTATGAAGCTTCCAGCTCTGAGCTGGAACAGATGGAATTTTTTTTCCCCTGTCTCTCTCTGGTGATAAGGTGAATGGTTTCCTCAAGGGAAGAGTAGACAGAGTTGCTGAGTTGGCAAGGCTTGTGCCAAGCAGCTGGTTCCTGATAAAATGATGGGTCTGGATAGGCATGGTCTGGGAAGAATCATAAGGCCCTTTCTGTCACCAGCCTTTCCAAGGAGGAATTGAAACAGTCATGGATATATTCATTAAAGTGTTTGAAATGGGAAAACAACTGTCCTGATGGGAAGTTACTAGAAAGTGATGCAGATTATCTGTGTATTTGTTAAAGTGGATTATTTCATTTGGACCTCTTTGCACTGCAGCTTATAAATTCAGCTTGAGCACTTGATCCCTGGGACAACTTAGAGCCTCACCAGAGAGAAGGCTCCCCAAGAAAGAGGGGAATGGAAAGAAGTGATGACAGCACAGTTTTGCTCTTAAACAGTTTTGTTCTAGCAGGTCTCAAAGCTCAGTCTGAATATTGAATCAATCTGTACTTACACATCCTTTACTTGAAATAAGCATGTATTACTAACCTCAGTGGAAGCAGAAACACTGAGATTAAGTAGCTATCGGTCTCTAGGAGATAACTTTAGGTATTCACACCTTTCTCGCACATGTTACTGGGCTCTGCCTGTGAGCTCACTCACTGTTATCACTATTCCACATGCAATACCCCAATTCACACTTGCAAAAGGGGATTCTGGACAAGCATGTACTTGATTAGATGCTCAGTTAACATTGGTAAATCTCTGAATATCGATGCAACCCCCAAAGCAGAGTATTGCAAAATGTAAGCTTTCACCAAAGTAACTTTACCATCTCTCCCAGGTCATGTAGGTTTGAATGATAGACTCACACGTGTTGACAATCTAAAGCCGGCAGAAAGAAAGGACAAGCACACACATCCTTCCTTCGTGCCCTTTTGGGAAAGGAAAACCCCACATACATTTAAAAATACAGGTTAGATCAATTGCCGAAGCAGCTGAGACTGAGCTTCCAGATGAGAAACTAAATAATTTACTTTGAGAAATGTTACCAGACTCTTTTCAGTGGGCTGAAAAAGGTTAAACTCATGTTAGCCACATAACAAATGACATATGACGTCCATCTGCTGGTGGCATTTGTTCTGTTCTCCTCTTCCCTCTCCCTTTTTTCTCTGAAGCCACAACATTTTGTTGTCTAATGCTATTTTCATGCAATAACCATCCCTGCTGCTCCTTCATCCAGCTCTGCAGAGCAGGGCTTTGTGGTTTAGATAAGCATCAGCACTCCTAAATGCTTATTCCAACCAAGCCACCCAGCATGCTGCAGACCTGCCTGTCAAGGTGACCAAGCTGCAAGCTCAGAGCAGAACCAACTACTGAACATCAGGAAAAAATCCTTCCCTGTGAGGGTGCTGAGGCGCTGGCACAAGGTGCCCAGAGAAGCTGTGGCTGCCCCATCCCTGGCAGTGCTCAAGGCCAGGTTGGATGGGCCTTGGAGAAACGTGCTCTAGTGGAGTTGGATGAGCTTAAAGTCCCTTCCAATCTAAACCACTGCAAGGTATTTGAGGCTGAAGGCAGCAGCACAGCCACCAGACACGTCTGCTCCCGATGGAGACTCACATAGCAAAGCAACAGGGAGGGTTCTGTGTCTGTCAGAGAGAGGGACTCTGCTGCCTTCACCAAGAAATTGTTTGCCGTCTGTAATGTCAGGGGCTCTGCCCTCCATTCTTTTCCCAATCATAACACAACAAAGCCATTTGGATTTCTGAAATGTCACTGTGTCTGCCCAGAGACCTGGCTCAGACAAGGTAATTATCCCTTCCTGTCACCCTTTCATATTCTGACTTGTTTAAAAAGAAGTGGTTTTCACTGAGTCTGTCAAGCAGTGTCCTAGGAAATGTTCCTGGCTTCCAGGTGAAACAAGCCAGCTCCAGAGACACTGCCATGCTGGGATGCCCTGCTGCAGGCCATCTGCATGAAGCTGCACGTGCGTGAGCCGTCCCATCTCTTCTCAGCACTACCACAGGAAAGCACAAAACCAAGTCAGGGGTTTAATACCTGTACAGGTAAATCCCCACAGGAAAAAAATCTCTACAGCTGATGATGCTCATAAAGTGTTCAATACCCAGACCCTGTGTCAGGGGGGCACAAAGAACAGCAGGGGAGTACGATGCTCAGTTCTCATGGATTTCAATGGGATGAGGGAAATAAACTGCATGGGACTTGCCTGAAGAACATCTCGCCTATAACGATCATTCAAGTTAATACTGACCACAGGGATTCCCACTTACTCACTGCAGGGCTTCCCTAGGCTCTCCAGCAACAACTGAACTGAATCCCACAACTTTGTTTCCTCCTGCGTAAAGAACCACTTGGCTGCAGTCTGCTGAGATCCGCAGGATAGAGCATGGGCTTGACTTAATCACAGCAGCAACAGGGCTTTTAATCCCAAAGAAATAAGAACAAATGAAGACCAGATTTCGAATTTGGACATGATACAGGGAAAATAAAGGAATCCTTACAGAAAGCAAGCAGTTAATGGTCACGAATGCACTAGAGGTATTCCAGTTCTGGAAGGACTTTTAGGTACCTATCAACACCTGCGAATTAGGCTCAACACTAAAGTAAGATTCCTCTTGCTTTCCAGCCTTGCACACATGGTAAAATTAAACTGGAAGAGATGGGAGGAGGTCAGTTAAATCCTCATCAGGCCCTGTTAAGTAGCCTCTGCTGCCATTCATGCTGAGCACTGGGATTTGATATTAACCAGAAGCATTTGGCTGCTTTTCTGCTGGAAAAAAATAAGCACATTTTATAGGGGAGAGATCTTATCTTTCATTTTATATAGATCAGTTCTGCAGCATCTTGATATATTTATAGTTTTAATACATAACCATAAATGCCCCCTAAACAAGGGATATTGCACCTTTAGATTACTATTATTGCTTTATTGCTCATTGTAACCGTAAATTAAGAGCTTCTCCTAGCAATGCTGAAAGAGTAAAGAATTAGATTACAATGTACATACACAAGAGCCTATTAAGGCATTGCTATTCCATAAAAGTCTTTATAGTTTTTAAGTGTACACCTATAAGTGTTTCAATTAAAGAACTACATGCTTGCCTAGTAATTGCCCTCCCATTTGAGATACGGCTTTGCAGCAAAAAAGAAAGAAGCAAGACTAAAAGGTGGAAAATTAGAACATAAAACACAGAATATGAAACTGCCATAAAGAGAAAACCATGGGTTTAAATTATGCTTATTAGAGTCATTTGCATGGTTTAACTCTTGCTCTCTGGTTGCTGTATGGAATCTGATGTTTGTTTCTCTGGACAGAAAACCCTCTCCTTTGGTGTCATGAGTTTTCAAACCTTGCAGGAAATCAGCCATTGGGATGAAATGGCTTTGTTTTCTGGAGAAAAGCTGCCACCATAAATCACTCCAGAATGACTGTAGAGGTCCTTCAAAGCAGGACACGACAGAAATATCAAGTTCAGACTTGGGATTCCCAGAGCAGAAGACAGCCACGGTGACAAGAACCGTGTCCCTACCTGTCGGAAGGATGACATCTTGTGGTAGGACGGGTCAAAGGACCATGAACTAATTAAATGCAGTAAAGGAAGCCAAATTCAACATACTACAAAGAGGACAGGGCTTTGTGCAGACATCACAGGGGGAAAGTAGAACTTCAATACATTGCACTTTGATTTTCGTTACTATAAACTGCGGGGGGAAAAAACCACCACTATCACTTGTGCTTTGGTAATCACCTCTGAGTTCACCAGGCAGGGCGATGTGCCTGCTCATTGCAGAGCCTCACATAAGCCCTTCTGGTCCCCTACAACATTTCTGTGTGGGTACCCTCACCTGAAAACTAAGCCTGGGAGATTGCTGGAGCTGGCCCTTGGGTTTCATTTCAGCCATACACTGTAATCCAGCAGCTCCAAGGGGGGAACACAAAAGATGCACTTGGAATGGAAAGGGAATTAATAAGGAAACTCACTGAATCATCTGCAGAGCCACTCTCCTGCTTGTGATCACTCTTGAAAATAGCCTCAGCCTCTGTAGCAAACATCAGTTCAATGCTAACCTCAAAAGCAGCTATTTGTACAAGATAAGTCCGGGGGGGGGCAACTGGCATCAGAAATGTAACCTGACTCCTTACATCCTCTGAAGCTTGCCTGGCATCACTGACAGCCTGTGCAGCATTTCTATGTGCAATTCTTCAAGAACTAAAGAGTGGGATGGAGGTAGAAATGGGTAACACTCGATAAGCAGCAGACATTAATTAATGCTATGTTACAATGGAATCCAGCTGAAATAATGTATGGAGGCCACATGAATAGTAAAAGGAAATTCATCATGGTTAATGTTATTACACTGAATGTCAAAGGCAGCAGTGATGATTTGCCACTTACTGTATAATGTAATGTAATCTAAATGCAATTCTGGTTGGATAGCCCTGAACATCCATATTGAATAGGACTGGCAGAAAAAACAGGATTCAGCCCTTCTCCATGGGCAGGTCTACAGTATCCTCAACTAACGTGCAAGTCCAGCTTCTGAATGAGACATCTGTTTGCCAGGGTATGACCAGAATGGATTTTAAACACAGGTATATGGTATTTGTCCTCCTTTTTTCAGGTTCACTGTAACTTATGGGCATGCTTGGACCCCAAATCTGGGGTCAGATTCTGGAATTATGTTGGGGTAAGCTTGAAAAAGCTTCTTTCTCCTCTCCTATCACACATTTCTATGTCATTCTTCTTGCTAGGAACATTCTTGATCTATGTTTCTTTATGCTCTTTCCAGTGGATGATGTCCATCCAGTAAAATTCAAGTCTCCTTACAGACATCTGGTTTTAATGAACATTGGTGAGACCCCAGGAAGTGGTTAGAGCCCATGAGAGTCAAAGCAGGGTGACCAGTCCAAAAAGATCTAATAAACCATCGATACTCTACAATAAAAGCATTTCCTCTATAAAAGAATATCTCTGCCAGACTTTCCTTCAACACAAAAATGCTTCTTTCAGGAGCATGTTTTGTTTAAAGCATTCCAGAACAAACCCCATCTACCTACATTCCGTCTATCAGGCAGTACAATCAGCAAGTCCACTTCCACAGAAAAAGCCTTCTGCCTGGAACTGTGCATGGTTTATATTGTTCTTCCCCCAAGCCATTATGTGTTGGGTTGCAGTAGAGACTTTCGGGAACAGAATTCAGTTCAAGATGGTTTTGTAACATCCAACTTATTTTCCCTGCCACAAAATACGTTTAGCGTGAGAAATGCAACCCTGTAGTGATTGCCTGATATACGTAACACTGTCTAAAGCCATTGTTACACATTTCCTTTTGAAAGGAGAAAAAATACACAGGGATTTATTTTTATTTTAAATATCTAAAAACCAGCATTCACTGCAGCACTATAGATTCTAATTCCTTAAAAGAAGTAATGTATAACACTTCTACTTCATTTCACTGGAGTCCCACACAACGGTCCTACTGCTGGTTTGTCAGTGAAAGAAAAACATTGAGATCTCCATTACCTTTAGCTTACGTTTATGAAAAGAAATACACTTATGTATCTTTTAGAAGATTCTAAAGAGTTATTATTTATTTATGGAGCCCTGGAAGCATGCTAGGCATTTCACAGGCACGCAAAGAGAACCTGCAGCCTAAACAGTCAACAAATAAACCCAGCAGAGAAGGGAAGAAGAAACAAACCTTCTCTTCTCAGCATTTCTTGTCTTTGACACACTGCCCCACCTCTGCCACTTCGTCCACATTTTCACCTTATTTACAACTGCTCTGCATCTTTTCCAGCATCATTTGTACCAAAGGAGGGAGTGGGTGGGAAGGGACTTCTGCATGATGGGTCCCTGCAGTGAGAGCATCCAGTTACACTTAGTGTAAGTGAAAAATAGACAGAGATCGATATATGCAACTCGGGTTGTGTCCAGGCATAGCAAGGTAAAGATATCTGTGAAGGGGCACTGCTGGGTGATGGGCTCAAGTCAGACACCACCTTACATCCACCACACTTAGACACCCTCAGCCTCACAGTTCAAACTCCTTTGCAACCCCAGGGTGACGATGAGAGCAGGAGGAGGACCCCAGCTGTGAGCTGATCCCACCTATCAGACAGCCATGGAGAAGGCTGCATGCTTCAAGGCACTGGTTTCTGAAACATCCACCAGGCAGATCTCACCTCATGGACAGCCTACATAGGACAGCTGGAAATGAATCTTCACACCCCACAGTGACCATCACAGAAGTGGCCATTGACAGGTTGGTCCTGTACAAGGCACCAGCAATGGTCTCTCAAGACATCTCCCAGGTACACAGACTGGTTTGGGTTGGAAGGGAACTTAGAGCTAATCCAGTTCAAACCTGGGGAGTCCTGGGCTTTGTGGCTCATCCTGCAACACCGACAGTGTGCCAGATCATCGAGCCTCACTCTTTAGCATTTGGGATTATTTATTAGCACCTGTGCTCAAGAGAATCTGCCTGTGCCATGACGCAAATGAAAAATCATTATTTTCCACTCCTTACCCTTCTCATTGTTCCAGGTCTCTTCCCCACCCTGCTGTCTGCAGCCTACAAACACAAAGGTGAACGCTAGGGAAAACGAGACTTCGTTTTTCTCTCCCTTTGCTTTGCAGGAGCTAACAAGAGCCAGGGTGACATTTATGGAATAATTAAAGGCAACGTTGATGAGCCCAGTAGTTGCAATTTTGCTTTTCAATTGAAGAACCTTTTTAACTCTGTGTCATCTCTGGTCAGCGGCTTTACAGCTGTGACAAGTCATTTTTACAGAAACACTGTTAGAGGTTGTAAACTTTAATGACCTTTTCCTTTCTCGGTCCTTGTTTTTCTAAACCTGTAATTAAGCACTGCTATCTATCTGTATTGAAAGGATAAGAAAAAATGCATATTACTATAAAAATCATCTCTGGGCTCACCACTACTAACTCTAACAGTGCTGCAACCACAGATTCAGCTGTGGCCAACCCTGCAAGAGGAGTCATTACTGTAACTAAATTAGACCGTTTGTTTTCTTTCCCTCAAATCAAATTGTGTAGGAGCTGCTTTATTGCAAAACAGACATTAAAATTCCAGCTAGACCTCAGAGAGAAAGTAATTTCTATTTTATCAGCACTGTAAAGCTGTCTTTATGTTCTGAAGCAGGAAATATTGCAGGGATATTTATAGCTCCAGCACCAAAGCAGTTTGAATAGAAACGTTCCCGCGGTCGGCAGAGCTGTCACACTGCTCGCTGGAGCAGGGAATTTTAGTGAATTTGTGAATTACTGTTTCTGGCTTGACAAGTCTTTCAAGGAGGCTGGTGTGTGTCTGGAGCCGCTCTGTGATTTCAGGATAATGATTAAAGACTTGCATCACTTTCAGAGATGTAAACGGTAACTCAGAGATAATCAGTTCCCATCAATGAGACCCTCTAACAAAGACCAAGGTGTCCAAACTTTGCTGTGCTCCAGTAGCTCAGCACTGGGCTCCCTTTTACTGCTCCTTTTCCACCAGCTTGAGAAGTTGGTGTATTGTGGCACTAGGAATGCATATTCCTCACTGCTGCCCAGGATTTCCACAAAGGATTAGCAGCTTCTCCCTTCCATCACCTTTGAGGCACAGGCAGGAATTTTGCCTTATTCATCTTTGTCATTGTCCTCTATAGTGGATTTAATACTGCCATTATACAGATGAATAAACTGATGCATGGAGAAAATGGGATCATTTATCTTAGCAAACTTCCTAACTCTCTGGAAGAGGCAGAAGAGTACTGCAGATTTTCCACATATTTGTGACCACCCTGGCCTTTGTAATTAAACAGGGGTTATTAATAGGCTACACTGGGAGGAAAATGTACTCCACTCCCTGATTAAGCCCATCCATTATCATACATGTGGTAACAGATTGTTTTAGGAATCCACAGCACAAGTATTACAAACACACTGCAGAATTCAGCTTAACAAATGTTCCTATCATGCTGTAAATAAAATCATTTACATTGTGGTGGCAAAACCCATCTGTAGCCCAGTAGCTATTAAGAAGGTCAAACCGAGTTTTCCATTGCTGCGTTAAATTGTGGATTTACAGTGGTTTTTGGAGCCAGTGACTCTTGCCAGATGCACAAAACCATCTGAAAAGCTTGAGGAGCTCTTGCCTGCCCTGAATTTAAAATAGATCTAGTTTCATGTCTCCAAACCTCACACTGCATATGGCAGATTGAGGTTCTCCAAGGTACCTCACTATATCTGCACCACATTGCCTGTGGGGTCACTCTTTAGGTACAGACAGCATCAGCTCATTCACGTTCTTACTCATATCTATCTGACTGCTTGGGCAAGACTGAAGTACAGGGTTTGCACACAGACACAAACAATTTAGACATCAGGAGCACAAGTCCCTGGTCTGCAACTTGTCAAGAGTCTTAACAAGCCTGTAGAGAGGCCTTGACACTTACACGTGAGCTTTTCTAAAGTGACTGTTCTATTGAGCAGGGTCTTATTTCATGGAGCTGCATTGAGAAAGCTGGTGAAAAAGATCCTGTCTGGCCATGGCTGCAGCACGAAAGCAGCACATTGTGCTCCCCATACAATCCTTTTGATCCTTAAAATCTTAATTCAAACCAGCTCAGGCCTCAGGCAGATCTCACCTCATGGAAACAACGGGATTTAATTCAGCTACAGTCTTTGTAATGTCCTGGGGGTCACCTGGCTGCACCAGGAGACAAGAGGTGTCTATCCACCTGCATCAGACCCACCTCTTCCATAGTACATTGAAAACTCCTCTGGTTTGGCATAAGAACAAGCAGCAAAAAAAAATCTCGTAATGACTTTCTGAAACATCAAGTAGCAAAAAATACCAAAAGAAGAGCCAGTAAGGCCTGGATTCTGTTCCTATTGCCTCTACCTATAACCAGATTGGATGGGGCTTGGAGGAACCTGGTCTAGTGGAACGTGTCCCTACCCACGGCAGACAGCTGGAACTGGAGGAGCTTTAAGGTCCCTTCCAACCCAAATCATCCATGCAGATCCATGCAGATACCCAAAGCCTGTTTCTCTCCAGCAGTAGCCAAGTGCACCATGAAGATGAGATCTGCACACAGTATTAGTGTATTATTTTCTACTAATCTTGAGTGCCTCAACAGGACTACAAACTTATGGAGTTTCTGCCACTGAAAATGAAAGAGGCTCTCTCCATGAGCTGGATAGTT